GTTCGGCACGTGGTTTGGTGGGACTCGGTGGAAGATGAGGGGCCCCGAAGATGAACGCTGAAGTTTTGGCGAAAACGCTGAGGATGTTACTATATAACCCCTTTTGGGAGTCGATGATTCCACCATGTCATGTCAGACTTCGGCGGGTTCTAGACTGAAAAAAGACCTGTTTACTAAGGATTTCACTTACACTACAAAACCAGGTTAACCATTTGCTTAACGGTCTTGGAAGTCTAGGGAAGAATTGGCTTTTCATGGCTTTTCCATTCCAGTTGATGAACACCTGGGTGACCAACTTTGGTATACCCAGTCAAACAACAACCCTGGCCTGCTCGGTGTCACGGTTTCCCGTGATCCGGGCTCGGTGTGACTGGCCCTTTGGCCCCATGGAAGCAAACGTTGGGTCACCAAGTCAGACCATTGCTGGCTACCCAATGTCGAACAGCTGAGACCGTAAGGGAAGCGAGGGAAAAGCGCGCAGGCCAGATGCTGGTGCTGTCGTATCTGGTCAGACCGAAAAACCAAGAGAGGTTTTTCACTCACAGCACCGTATATCACCCAACTCCTCTCATATGTACCACAATACTAGGGTCCTAGTTCAGGTCTTTCAACCTCCCTTGGTATCCAATCGTCGACTGGACTTCCAAGTGCCTCCAAGCGCGACACCCTTCTCGTCGGTCGCGGTGACACCCTGAGTCGAGCTGCGCATCTCGATGGTTCTCAAAGGCGAGGCCATCGCTATTAGGGTGGAGGCCATTACTACTAGTAGCAAGAAGCTACGGACGCATGGATTGGGTGTCTTCCTACGAAATTCCCACCCATGTGGAGATCCATTCTCCAAGATCCTGCGAGACTTCACAGCACAGGAGCGAGCGCAGCCCTTGCGTCAAAACCAGGACCTTCCCAGTGACCGAACTGGAGATCCCACTGGCTGAGGTCACTCAAGAATACGTTGAGGTTGACGATACTGGTCGGTCACGGGGAAGGTGCTGGCACCTGTGGCATAGACGACGCCGCGTTTTTCGCACACCAAACCACCAAACCGCTTGGTTCTGCGCCACAACGACACGCAGGATTGGAACATCAGACGACGCAGACCGAGGACGACCGGTGTTAGTCGAGGCCGACGGCACCGATACACCAAACCCAGGACGGCATCAATGGACTCGACAGGAAAACCTCAGCCCCATCCAGCGGTCAGCGACATCCAGTGGTCGATGGCGCTAGACAGTCTCCAGACCACGCACCGTGGGGGTGTGTGCGGCCTCACTCTCAGACGGCCTCACTCGGCCTCACGTGTCGGACGTGTCGGACGTGGTTTCGTGTCGCATTGACTTCGGGCGGGGCACGTTGAGAGAAAGGATCTGCACATGCCTTTCACCGCAGACTCTTGATTGAAACCCTCACCCACAAGATGGACATGCATTGCAAAACCTCTTCAGGCCTTAGGGGGGGCGTCAATTCCTATAGTCCTATACTAATCAATCGTCTGTATACCAGGACCCTCCAAGGGGTGTCCAATGGACTCCCCACACTACCTATAGATTCCATTGGGCACCCCGACAGGAGGGTCCTGGTACCAGCACCCTCCAACAGGTGCTTTTTTCCCCTCTCCAAACCACCCCGTGACACCCAGCCCACCTCAGCGGACGTACCGGCTCGACGGTACGCGTCGTAGGCGTCGTGGTGTCCTGGCGCGGAAGAAGCGCCGTTGGGCCAAGCAAGAGAGGTTCCTTCAACCTCCCTTGGAATACAGGGTTGGAAGTACAGTAGAACTCCTTCGGAATACCAACAGAAACTGAACAAAGACCAATAACACAAGTTCTGAACATGACAGAAACAAGTCGAGCTCAGAACTGTGGGGCGTTCAAGTCGAGCTCAGAACTGGTGGTCAGTTCTCCGTTCTGACCGCGCTGGGCGGCCGTGTCGTGGTCTCGAATACCTCATGGTCTTCAAGTCCCTGAGCGCTTGGTCGCTTGCTATGGAAACATCCTTCCACCCTTCAAGGTACCATATATCCCTGGATCTCAAAGGCTCTCAGAAGGATGTTTCCATAGCAAAGCTCAGAAGGCTCTCTATGGATATCCTTTTCATGGCTCTCAAAGGTACCAGGATCTTCCCTGGATCTTCCTGGTGACCACTGTGAGTTAGGTCGGATGGGACTCCCAAAAGGGTCACTGGTCGGAAGATCCTGATATATATAGCTTTTCAATATGTGCCAATGCTTTTTCAAGTCAACTGTCTCGAAAAGCAGACTGTTGGAAAAAAAACAACAACACAACCCTCTACAGAAAAGGAGTATTTTGGGCGGCAAGCATGTCTTTCGCCAGGGGCGGTCGGCACACAACTCCACCACCAGTTCCTGGCCGGGATTCTTTCTTTTTTGCTGACTCACCACCGGTAACCCCACTGGCGCAGCACGCGCGACGAGGCACGTGCTTCGATGGAACTTCTGGCAGGTGCCTATGCTTTCTAAAAATCCCATCAGGGCCCAGAGGATGATGATGGCTAGTCTGGCTAGTATATATAAAGACCTTTCTGAACCTTTTCCAAAACCAGTGATCATCTACTGACGGTTACTGGTTTGCTGGGACACCCCCTATTCCTACGATGCTTGGAACACGCCACGTCCGGAGAAAAAGGACAAGAAACAGCAGCATTCAGGGGACCTTAACCCCCCCCCCCCCCGCGCCCAAGACAGAGCAGAAGGCAACCCGCTCCTGAGCTAATCGGAGAGGCCGCCATCCCGAGGGCCACATGGGTGTGTATTAAAATAGGGAGACCTCCCAGTTCGACCCCCTGGAAGGTGGCTTAAAGTATCGCTTTTGACGGTGAAATGTCAATTTTGGCGGCGAAAAGTAATGTGGTCCGGTCTGTCTGAAAACTAGCGTGTCGACGTTCTTGTAAGATGTTGGTGAAAGGGTCGATAAACCAGTAGTTGGTGAAGGCCTAGCTAGGGAAGGTATGCATCGATTGTACCCAAAATGAATTCCCAGTTCCATCACAGACCACGCTGAAACCCCAAGCTGAAACCAAGCTGATTCTTCCGTTCCAATACGGAAGAATAGGAAGTTCCATTCACTATTTCTGGTTGGGACATGGGACCCACACACTTGTGGCATATGGAATCGCCATTGACCCTGCGCATCTTCTGTTTTGCTTGAGACCGTCTCCGACTTGGAAGTCCATCACGTTTCACGCCGCCGAGCCAGAGCGGGCCCCGGTGACGCCAACCAACGAGGAGCTTTCCCATGGATGAGGCCGGCAAACAAAAAAAGAACGGGGACGATTCCCCACACCGTCTGGGAGTCCAACCACCATTGATTGGATGGTTTTTCTTCCAACAATCCTTGCGTTACATAAAGATGTTACCCTACCAAGCAACAAAACCATGGCGGCCAACCCCTTTTTATGACATGCTCTTCCGGATGGGCCAACCGCGAGCCTTTCGCCAAACAAAGGAAGCGACACCGATCCCGGATAGCCCGGGCATCTTTCGTGGTCGATCCACTCGTCGTCGAGGACCGGCTCAGTCGTACCGTGGGGACCGTCTGACTGGTCTTTCGTGCGATGGTCGTTGTCGTGGTCGGTTGAACTGAAGAATCAAACCCTAAGAATCCGGGCCCGGTGTGGTCGGTCAGCAACACATCCAGACCGTTTGGTGTGTCCGGGCCCAGACCGTGAAACGGTGTGTCCGACATGGAGAGCCCGGACTCGGAGACTCTTCGGGCGCAGAGAAGCCACCGGTTACCAGGACCTTCACAAAGTGACCGAACTTGAGATCCTAGAATGAGGTCACAAACAGAGACTCCAGTCAGAGGTCCACGTATTGAAGGTCCACCTACATCTTCCGTTGACCGTCCGATGCTTTCCCGGCGACCCATCACCGAGCCCTGATGATCCCGGTGATGGCTTCGCTCGGACTCAGGGGTTCGGCTCGCCTCGCCTCCGGTCTTGGGTCACTTCGGAAGCTTCAAAAGGTCCAGGAGAGGGCCAGAGAGACCTGAACTAGGACCCTGGTGTACATATGGGATGGGCGACAAAGGGCTGTTCAACCTCTGTAGGGTCACTTGGAAGGTCCGATTTGGGACCTCTCCCCTAAGTCCACCGAACGACGAGTCTTGGGGACCCACCCGATCGACTTGCAGGACATTCCGATCGACTTGGCTCACCTAGCGATCGTCACCGGAATGGTCTTCTTTCTTGGACTTCCAGGGTCTCAACCACAGCCTTGCACCCGAACCAGGTCACCCCTTTGCACCTTTGCACCAAAACCCCAAGCTGCTTCGGGTCACCCGTCTCCTTGGGCGGTGACGTTTCGTGGGTTTCGACTGAGACCTGGCCCGATCGGTCGCTGGGTTGACATCCAGCCGGAACCGAACCCCGGACCCAGAGCCCGCTCACGTGTCGGGGAGACCCCATGTCTCGAGCGTCGGAACACCCCCAGGTCTGGTGGAGCGATCAAGCCGACGTTCGTTCGACGAAGCCGACCGGTTCGTGACGAGGTGAGTCCACGTCGCTGACGTCCCGCCGACCACGACTGCTCATACGACCGCTCCAAGATGGGGTGTGGCTCGTCCCATCCAGGGGTTGGGGATGTGACATTCGGGGCACCCCGAGCATTTTCCCTCCATGGATAGCACCCTGACCTCGGAACTGCTGGAGGTTCAGACAGGCGAAATGATCATGCGATTCTCTGGATGAATTCACAACTTAAAATAGAGACTCTGCAAATCTCTGCAAGATCGGGGTTGCTTGTGGATTATATCATGGACCCCCCACACACAAGAGATACATAGAGATACATAGAGATACTGAGATACTTCGACCCTTTTTTGACCTCGCCTTCATCAGCCAGCTTTGGGCTGCGCCATTCCACCCACTCTCGTTCTGGGGTGCACCGACCTGTTCTACCCCCAGCCGTGGCCCGCGCACACCCGGGCCGACGCGAGCCGAGGGCTCGCATACCACGGTCCACGCGGCGCACGCGGGCGACGTGGTCAGTTCCGAGAGAAGAACAAGTCCAGCTTGGGAGACTCGGTGAGGTAGCCGCTCTGCGCAGCACCTCAGACCGGTCTGGGGGTCGAGGTCACACGGTCAAGCTGCCGTTCCCACGGAGGACTCATAGTCCTGCCCGCCAGAAAAGATACATGTCGACATCCCCCAAAGAAAAACACCAAAGAAGCACACGAAAAGATACACCAAATACATATACAGTATGACTCGAAAAAGAAGAGCCCGTCAGGCTTCAGGCTTCAGGCAGATCTTCCAAGATCGCCATTCCCACAGAGTCCGTTCGTTTGTGAACGCCGCGCCGCGTCTGCGCGGGCGCCTTTGAGCACCATGACGTTGTGGATCACCACGCGGTTCTCCGGCCTGAGCGGAACGTTGCGGAGCGCAGAGTGCTCTGCGGACAGCGGACGGCCTCGTTCTGGCAACGGCCACAAAGCCACTTTGTGGACATGGTTACGTGGATGGCACAGCCTGTTTGGTCTTCGGATTGATTTCATGGTCATCCGAAATCGGGGCCACACGTTCTCCACGTGAAAGTAAATGGTGATGGAAGGAATCTGACGGATCTATGATATATGGACCCTGGAAGTCCGTTTGACCATTCACAAGAATTGGGAACCACCCAGACGCTCCTGGACCCTCATATGCAGGGGTCGGACCCGAATTCTCTGGAGGAGTCTGGACCCGAACCAAACCCGGTTTGGTTCGGGACCAGTCGGGCTGTGAACGGAGCGTCTGGGCACCTGGTTTTGTGTTTTTTTTACACTCCCTAAGAATCCGGGCCCTCAAACAGATAGGGTTTTGAGGGCCCGGACCCCTGCTATGGAGGGTCCGACCCCTGCCATGGAGAGCCCAAGGATTCTTAGGGCTTAGTAAAACTGGCTCGATGGTTCGGTCGAGTCCCTTCAAGCCGACACCGGAACCCACGACCTCTAACACCCGGTGGACCAAAACCTGCGACCTCCAGCCAATCGCAGCTCGTGCGGTGAAAAAAGGGGGAGTATCCTCTACCAGGACCCTCCGACAGGTCACCAATTGAGACCTGTTAGGGTCCAACAGCCCTCAACTAACAGCCTGTTGGAGGGTGCTGGTAGAGTCTACAGTGTTTTGCGGTCGTTTTGGAAGAAGTCCTCAGTAGTGTGCCTAAGCCCTATACACTTACAACAATGGATCAAAACGACGAGGATTGTGAACCCTGTGAACCCCCAAAAAGAGCCTTATGTTCACAATTGTTCACATGTTCAAATCACCGTTGGAAAAGCTTCAAGCACTTGTCCAGGTGTGGTTTTTCAATGTTTTTCATTAAGCCCCAAATCCCAAGGAAAGGACTGCTGAAGCAAGAGATGTCCATGTCCAGACTCCCTCGCATGAACCGGGAAGACCATTCAAAGAGGTCAGCCGACCTGGTGTTGTACTCAAAACTCCTTAAAGTAAAACAGCTCGGTTGGTCGGTAAAAAGCCTGTCAAAAAGAACCTGTAAGTCAGTGGCGGGCCACGAATCCTAAGAAAATTGCTTCCACCAACACTACTGAGTCCTACTGGTTCCCTTTGTCCACTTCATGTGCGTTTTCCTCCGTTTTCCTTCGCCCTCCCTGAGTCCTCTGCTCGATGGTCAACGCCTTCTCCAAGCCTTGCGCTGCTTGCTGAAAGGCGCCGGCCACCATCCAAACCTCGGGACGCACCGGACGTTCGGCGTAACGACGTTCGGCGGTTCGGCGTGTGCTTCGTCCAACGGCTTGTGACGCTGCGACGGCGGTTCAAGCCTTCCGCTTGAGCATTGAAAGAGGTCGCTGGCCCCCCGCGGAGTCGAACATGCTTCGTCCAACCGCTCGCTTTCGACCCATGTTTGGTGGTCGACCCCGCTGGTTTCAACGGTGGACCATGTTTTTCCATCCAAGGGGTCACCTGGGGACGTCTACGACCCCCGTTGCACGCTCCGATGTGCCGAGCGATCGGCCTATCACTCGAAAGGTTCACATCGAAGTCCCCTATACGTAGGTCCAGTCTGACCCAGGTCCAAACCTGGTCAGTCGATGGAGCCTGGATAGTATGGGTTTTGTATGACCATCTCCATGTATTTCATGAGGTCAGTTCCTGACTTGGCTTCAAACGTCCGATGCTGCACCGTGACGGATCGAGAACCAAACGATGCTCAAGGACGGGGGCCGGAAAGGACCCGGAAATCGGTCCGGTTTGAGGGGGTGATGCGTGCCCCCCACCCCCCACCATCCATCCCCCCACCATCCATCCCACGTGGGTCTTCTAGGAACAGCAGAGCTTGAAGCCTCTAGGCCCCTATCTAGATCCTATAGGCTACTCCTGGGTTTCGGGTCCTATCCTAGTTCAGGGTCACTTCACCCACCTCGGTATTTCTCGGAAACAGGCTGTAGACAAACAAACAGGTATCTTCGCCTGGCATGTTTCTCCATCACCCGACACGAGATGAAGGTGCTTCGTCTTCACTGCCCGTTCTGCCCGGCATCTCGGCATCTCGGCACGCGGATCCTGCCTCTCTTACCGCGCATGGAGCGTGGTCTTTTTATACCATTTGTTCTTTTACCGCGCATGGCGCATGGTCTTTTTGTTATTTCTTTATATCCTCCCAATGTGAGCGTCCGTTGTGCCAAGGGGCAACGGCTAAGTTGGACCACAAGACCGGGTTCTCCGGGTCGTACTCCAAGCCTTCGAGACACCACGGGCGCAGAAACAGGCCACGTGTTTGGGGGGGATCCAAATGGTGGGAGGACAAAAAGGATAATAGGGTCCTGGTACCAGGACCCTCCGACAGGTCACCAATTGAGACCTGTTAGGGTCCAACAGCCCTCAACTAACAGCCTGTTGGAGGGTCCTGGTAGATAAACTATAGCGCGTCTTTCAAGCTACGTACTTTTTGGTCTGAATGTTCTCGCTTGCGCAGTTGAACCAATAGAACGTCGAGACATGAGCAGCTTGCATCTGGTTCCATCTGCTCACACTCCCAACCGCAAACTGCTGGGCTCTCTCAATTTGGTGGGGGCGGGAAAGGCACAGTAGATCTCCAATATGCAGCATGACTGCCGTGAGGGAGGAAAACGACAATTACTGCTACTCCTATTGCTATTCCCACCAATGCCTCGACGCTACCCCTAACCCTACCCGTACCACTACCCGTACCACTACCACTCTAAATCACGAATTATTACAAGAGTACTATCACCATTACTGCCACCGCCACCGCCATCTATTTTCGGCCGCCGCCACCACCACTACTACGACACCAGCACCAACACAAAAACCAAGACTGTTCCTCAGTTACTTCGATTTCTTCCGCACTTGTTCCTGGCAGACGGAGCCAAAAACCCATGACCTACGGTTCGGTCACCATGGTCAATGCTCAGCTCAAGAACTCCCTGCCTCTGGCCAGGACATCTTGTGCTTCTTGCAGCTGATTCAAGCTGGCAAAGGCATAGCCTCATGGAGTCGGAAGTTCCCTCCCCCAGTTCCTGAAAAAACTGAAGTTTCCTCGTTGGTTTCTAATGGTTTCTCCTTTGCTCCGATCGTGTCGACATAGGGTGTTCAGATGCAGAGATATGCGGAGAGATCATCGAAATGTAGTCAATTGTTCACTTGTTTCCTGGAAAAAACAGGAAAGACCATTCGCCCCCCTAAGAGGAACCTACCAACAACAGCCGCGAAAATGAGATGATGATTCGGCGTGTCCAACAACACTACCCCAAACAGCCCCAAACAGGCGGCCCTGGTGGCTTCACGCTCCAGACCGCGCCCCGACCCTTCAACCTTTCGCACACAACAACTCCTGTGCTGAAAAACAGGTCGAAATCTGTCAAAGCCAATCGTGGCGAACCGCGATCTCAGCAGGTTTAGGTCTGCAGAAGTCGATCTCAGCGACGGACCCAGGGCATTTTGGCCATGGGGCACAGCCGCATTCCTGTTTGCAAGTGTTGCATTGACGTTCGTTCGAGGTTCTAAAGACACCGGGTTTGGGCCACGCTTTTTCTCACCAGGAACTGAAAGAACACAAACAAACTCTCCAGTCACAGCCAAAGAAAGGAAACGCTCGCTCCGTCGCCCATCCTTCTCGCACAACGGCGTCGGCCGAGGCCGCAGCGCGCTCCCGGACGCCGATCGCGACGCGTCGCGTTTCCCCACGGTGGCTGGATCGATCGGATGTCCGTTTTCCCCGGGTCTCCTGGAGAGGCCTTTCTCCAACGCTGGGATCGCCTGCCGGATCAATCTACAACGGCGATCCGGTTCGTGGTTCGACGAACGGCGGACGAAACGTGGAGAGCCAATCCAGAGGCTGAAGCGGCTGAAGAACTCGAAAAAAACGGTCCCATAGGCACTCCAGCAGGGTCCTTCGTTTGAAAGGTGGAACCCAACTTGAAAGGCCATGTGCGAGCAAGCGGAAATTGCAAATTGGATGGTGTTTCACATGTGATAATAAAGTCTGTTCGTCTGGTAGTAGCTTCTCAAAAGTGCTTGTAAAATACCTTCCAACACCATGGGCCCAGTGCCACAGTCCAAGCTCTCTCAGGCGCGGCTCCGGCCCTGGCGCTCAGCGTTTCAGAAGCTCCTCATTGACGAAATTCTTGTTGAGGTGTGCGGTTCATGACGCCCAGGGAATCTGAGGTAACTGCAATAACTACGATTCACACCCGGGCCCCCCCCCAAGGGATGTTTCTTCATGGCCCCTGAGAGGTTGAAGGCGCCCGGCCGAAACCCACCAAGTGACCGGTGTCCGTTCACCACCCCCTCGCGGGGAGTCGCTCTCATCAGTCGCCGGCCGCCACCGATCCGGTTGCCCGGCTCTCCGGCCTCTTCAAAGCGGCCCAGTGCCACTAATGTGAAGCCATAGTCCACATACAGCATCCACAGGTTAAACCTCACGGAGGAAACACGGATTGAACCCATCTAACCCTTCATCGGTCGGCTTTTTCGGTCGGCGAACATGGGAGAAATGCCACCTAACCGCAAACTATAGCGTGTATGACCTCCATCCCAACTCAGAACGTTCCAAAAGTGTTGGACATCGTCATATCCCAGAAACCCTAGAATTGGCTCTCTGCACTTCAGCGCTTTTGCCCCATCTGTCCGTCCCCTTTCTCCCCAGACCTCTTTCAACCCCCCCATGATTACTTTATTAAGGCGGCTACATGCGGCTATCTATCTAATCAATATAAAAACATGCGCGCACAGCAGAACATAAACACACACAGGGGCTTGCGCCCTCCTTCACGGCGGTTCCACCGGTGACAGTCGCTCGCTGGAAGCGCCCGCGGGTTCCGCTCGCGGGTTCTCGGCCGAGGAGCGGCGAGAAGCCCACGCCGTGGCCCCGGAGGATCTTCTCGAAGCGCTCCAGCGCCAACGGATAGCGTGCCGTCCTGGGCGACCGGACGTGCGCCCGGTGGGGGCTCACATCGGCAGAGGAAGCTTCAAAAGGAAAAAGACGCAGAAAGCCTGGAAATCGAAGGATCTCAAGGATCTCAAATGCCATATTGAATCAACCAGGTTGTTTTTGGTTGGGACTGGGTTTCCAGGAACAACTCAATGCTCAACTCCATGCTCAACTTCCGCTTCGCTTTGCTTCTTCTCGATGCTTCCCATCTTCTCGCGAAGCGTCTCATGTGTCTCAGGGTCCTTCCAGGCGATCTTCTTGTGGATCTCTATCCCAGACACGACAGACCCCGGGTCAATCATATGGTCGTGTCTGGTTATAAATCCCTACAAGTCCAAAGACCCAGTAAAACCTGGTCTTTTACCTGCTTAAGTATTGGTTTTGTATGATCATCTCCAGTATTTCATGAGGTCAGTTCCTGACTTGTAGGGTATCCTACTCATTTCTTGAAGCATCTTGGAAGATCCCACCGACCAGACGAACCCTTTCGGACACCCTTCCAGACCACCCCGGACCGACCGCGTGCCCCGGACCGACCGCGAAGTGACAGGGCCCCATCTCTTTGGGCCCCGGAGCTCGATGTAGATCTGCGCAATGCAGTGATCCGTCAGGGCCTAGGCTGAGCGGAGCTGTTCCGACCGGGCCTTGGGGGGACTGGAAGGACCGACGGATCACCGCGAGCTCCACCCGGAAGGACCACCCTGGATGACTTGAATGGATGCCTAGGCTGGAGCCTTTTTGTGTCCAATTGATTAAATATATTAAAATATGGTAGTAAAAACGCTGCCGGAGTCCCCTCTAGGCTGTGTCGCCTTCGGCTCTGGGTTTCCATCGTGGGTTCGGGCCAAAGACCGGTCGTCCTCGGCTGGTCAGTTCTCCGGCCAAGACGAACTCACATGTCGAGGAGACGAGGAGGTCAAGGGCACTGGTCCGGTGGGGGGCGGGGGGCACCAGCTTCAGACCCGCTCCGGCAAAAACCTGGGTCAATCCGGAAGTTAAGAAGCGGAAAGGTTGCACCTTCGTTCCTTCGAAGCGGATGCTGGACCATCTTGGACCCAACTCACCTTCAGAAACCTCGACCGTCACCGAATCAAAAGCCCTATACTGCTTGACCGCGTCGACTCCGTGCAAGCGCGAAACCGAGCGGTTTCGCTCCGTTTGGACTCTCCAAGTGGAGATAATTGCCCAGATATGGTCCTGAAAAAATCAGGGATGGGGGTTCCCATGTGCAAAACTGAATGGCAGGAGAATCCATGTTGCCTTGAAATCACATTGGCTGTCTGCATGGTGTCGACAGCCAGGACGCTCTCAAAACCACAAAACCTGATGCCACTCAGTTGCATTGTCGTCGAGGATCGTCAGAGATGCATTGAACCTGACAATTCAGTTCGCTGGGAACACCCGCAAAGGATTGTGTCATCCTCAGGCAAACAGAACATGAGGCAACCCGGCAACGAAAAAGAGGCCCCAAGGGTGAAAGAGCAAGGGTCATCGTTGGTCTTGGCAACTTGTCCATAACTTCCCCCAGGACCACGAACTTGGTCGCTCTCTCCGTCCTTTACGCAGATGCTCATGGACCCGGTCCGACCCTACTCCTACAGCAGTAAGTCGAGGTGGGACCCTCATATAGAGGGGTCAGAAGTCTGGACCCTCTAATCCCTATGGTTTTGAGGGACCGGTCGGGCTGTGAACGGAGCATTTGGGTAGATGCTTTTCGATAGTTTGAGTTGTTTCGCCCCATCAAGCGGCCGACACGCGGCTCCGCCACCCGAAGACGGTCCCAAAGAAGAGAAGGCACATCTCAGGCGGTCTCGTTGTCCCAGATGTTGTCCAAGTTTGACTAAGTTTTTGACCCCTATAGAGATCTCTAAGACGGTCGTTCCATGTCGTTCCCTGAGAACCCAAATTTAACGCATTTTACTCCTAGTGGATTTTGACTGCCGGATGGGGGCTCTCATGAGTCAAGTTCCGGAAGTTCAGGGGTCGTTCTCATTCATCATCGATCGATCGAAGGAAGGGAGTTTATGGCACCACTCGCCACCTCTTCATGCTCGAGCCACACTTAGGAGATCCTTTCAGGAAGAACCAACATCAAACTGTTTCTTCATGCGTTTGGTGTCCCAAATTAGAGCTCTGATGTTTGAATGGCACCCACGTTGGAATGCTGGACTGGGACACGGCGGGGCAATCACTTGCGCACGGGGAGTTTACGCCACTTGCGCACTGGACGTCACTTGCGCACTAGGCATCAATCACCTGTGCACTTACCTGCTTGCTGGCTCCTGGGTGGGGTGGGGCCTACTCCACATGCAACTACGGTAAGGGGGGGGTGGGGGGGGGGGGGGGGCGGTTGCAGTTGCCAACCATACAGTGTAACTCCGAAGCGCTGAAAGAGTTGCCAAGTGGGACAAGGTCAACATTGAGGCACTTGCAGCCACAAGCCTTGTGGGAAAGGATATGAATAAAAGCACTTGCGCTGGCCGCTGCCGTCAGTCTGCCAAAGCTGGCTGCACCTCAAAACAAGCTGACCACGGCGATCGCCAGCGCGTATCAGATGAGGTTGCTCAGAACAATGGCATGGTGTGGGCAACCAACCCACTTAAAAGACTTCGAAAAGATGGGCACTGCAGCATTCAAAATTTGTTGCGTTTCTGCTTCTTCATCCGCCATGAATTCTCGATCCCCCTGTGGACTGCAAGGGGGGGCCCTCATATGGAAAAGATTTCTGAGTGGGAATTGTTATCCAATGTGCGCAATGACCTGCAAATTAAAACCTAACCCCCTACCTCAAAAACACCTTGTTAAGAGTGAGATTTTTCCCTGTCCCCTAACCCCCCCCTCAAAAACAACTTCCTCACGCAGTGACAAGACGAGACGGGACGGTGAGCGGGTTTCTTTTTTCTCGAGCGAACTTGCATTCCGTTGCATACTGGGTGAAAGGATTGCTCAAAATGATCAAAAGATCTCACTGGGAAGATTCTACTTCTGTGCCTCTTCTTCACATGTGATCTAAGAATCTCACTGGGAAGTTCTACTTCTGTGCCTCTTCTTCACATGTCCCAAGGGAGCCTTTCACAATGCCATTGAGAAGCGCCTTCCACTCCTGATAGCTGTGAACCACAAATGGCCCACAAAGATTCGCAATCACACCCAAAAACAATATGTTTCGGGGACGATACAAGAGAAGTTCAACTCAAATTACAATTGTCAACACGCGCCACGGCAGGCATGGTATGTGCCTCTGGCGGACCACTCAAAGCAGGATTGGTCAACCATGTTCCTCCTGCACTTGCTGCAAGACTTCCGGCACGGCTCTCCTAAGAGTTCTGGTCAAAAACCTAGATAAGACAGTGTCCTCTTTGAGCTCGCCAAAAGCTCGCCACAAAGCTCGTTTTCAAGCTCGTCTATTTTTGAAAAGTTCAATGAACAGCTCACAAGCCCAAGCCAACGCCCAACCCAAAGTTAAAAGTCCAAACCAAAGTCTAACCGAAAGTTCAAAGTCCACGTCCAAGCCAAAATCCAATCAAAAGTTAACAGTCCAAACCAAAGTCCAACCAAAAGTTCAAAGTCCAAACCAAAGGCCAACCAAAAGGTAAAAGCCCAAACCAAAGCTTAACCAAAAGTTAAAAGTCAAAACCAATTTCCAACCACAAGTTCAAAACCCAAACCAAAGTCCAACCAAAAGTTAAAAGTCTAAGGAAAAGTCCAGCCAAAAGTTCAAAGTCCAAACCAAAGTCCAACTAAAAGCTAACAGTTAAAAGTCCAATGGACAAATAGATGTATAATTAATTTTACATTGAGTTATTGATATTGCATTAGGTTAAAAGTTATCAATTTTGCTTGATTTTATTTTTGAAATACAATGGCTGAGGCAGAAGAAAAGGAGACAGAGTTTTAGTAGGAGAGGCAGAGTAAACGAAAGGCTTGTGTATGAGTGTGTGAACTTTTAGGCTTTAGCTAACGCCTGAGCAAAGCTTCAGCTAAGCTTTAGTTAACTTTAGCTGCTGCAGCCAGAAAGCTTTAGCTAAGCTAGCCTTTAGCTAAGCCCTAGCTACCATTATAGCTTAGAGCTTAGCTAAGGCTAAAGCTTAGCGAAAGCTAAGGCTTAGCTTTAGCTTCAGCGAAGCCTTAGCTGACCTTTAGCTAACGCTTCAGCGACAGCTTTAGCTAGAGCTTTAGTTGAAGATTTGAGTTTAGCTGACGCATTAGCTTAGCTAACGCCTAACGCCTAGCTGATTTTTTATGCGTATAGACGATGACAGCTGCCAACGCACCGCCGCAAGCAAAGCCGCAAGCAAGGCGCTGGAAAGATGCCAAGTTGCCGCGCCACCTAAGTGACGCGCGAGCAGAAACTAGTCCTTAGTCACGCAATCCACATCAGGGGCCATGACCAAGGCACCACCAAGTAATTCATGCACAGTATGCCTCCAGCAGGCACACACTGTCCTTAGTCGTAAAAACGATTGTTCCTTGGTCATCAGGGATCTACAGGTTTTTTCTTCTGCAGACCCGTTCTCACCCTCGCTGTGAACCTTTTTTTTAAAAAGAGACACCAAACAGGGAGAGAGGAGAACCAAAAACATCAGGAAAGGACAAGGTCGGCTCCCATACCACAAGCATTCAGCCTGTCAAGAGCAGGAAGACCTACACCTCATTATTTCATGACTAAATCAAGAAGGAGCCTAGTTGCATCGGTCTTTCAAGATTCGAACGCGAACGCTCGCAAGCCAAGTGAGAATGGCCGAGCCCACCTCTTTTCGCCTTGGGTCACCACTCGGCCACCCCATTCTTGTTTGCAAATGATCAACGCAATCGCGTACAGTCACACGTGCAGGTCTAGGTGCAGCTGAGCAGGCCCACGTGCAATGGTCCCAGGTAGCGACCACGTCCATCTTTCGCACCAGGGACACTTGACAACCTCAGAAGGCTTTATGCGTTGCCAGGCCGCCGGGCTAACCTGTGCTCCAGTGGTGACTGCTATGGCATGAGAGTCCATGTCCATGAAGCGCAGGTCACGTATCCTTCGGGGGTCATAAGGTATGCCAGCGCATTCCCGGCTGTCTCGGCGGTTTTGACCCAGCCACTTAGCAAAGCAAGTGTGTCGCCAGGACTCTCGCAGAACATGCCGAAGTTTGGAAAGGTCATCCATCCAAGCTGCACTGTCAGAGCGGAGACTAACAGTTTCGGAGAGCCCCACATGAGCCCATGTCCACATAGATGTTTCGCTCCATCCCATATCCATCATACCCTTTCTCAAGGCGCCTTGCCAACCAGTCTTTCCACGGGGCCAGTCAGGCAGAGGAATACCTTGACGTGACACAAGTCTGCGCACAATGGTGCAAGCTGTGGAACATGCCTGGATCTTAATGTCCCATTGATGCCCTCGAATGATGGCATGTAGATGAGGACTCGCCGCATGATGCGTGGCCATGAGCCGGCGACAAGCGAAACGGTCTCAGCTCCCCAAAAGTTGGCCTCCTGAAGAGCCATCCCCAACTTGCTTTCGGGATAACAGCATACTGAGCCAAACGGACTTTCCGCTTGAGGGTGCCAGGAAGACATCTCACTCGAGCCAGCTTCCCTTTCGACTGCAGAAGTCTTTGTTTTTGTGCAGGGTCAGCCTTTCGGCTTTGGAGACCAGCGAAGTTGAAACCTAGCACACGAATCTTGTCCGAGATTCCATTCTGTGGAGGGGTCGTGTCCATAAGTTGGGAACGCCCTTGCTTCTGTGGATGGTAAAATTGTGCTTTTTGTCTGTTTTCTTGTAGGCCGAGGCGAGCTGCCCAAAGTTCCCATGAGCGGGTCACCTGTGCAAGACTTGAAGCTGAAGGGCATGCAAATGTGCGATCGTCAGCAAAGACAACTTGAGTCGCTCCCGGATGCTCTGCACCGATAGCCCGGACTGCGGGGATCAACATTGCAGTGAGAGCCAACATGCTCCAACTGTCTGCCTGGGGAAGTGAAGCACCGTCAGCCAAAGTCTCTCCCATGTACTGTAAACAACGTCGCTGATTACCCCACACATCTTGGAGCAAGTTGACCACCTTGGTATCCATACCCCAATGTCTAAGAACCTTTAATGCCAGGGCAGGGTCAGCTCGATCGAAGGCCTTCTCGAGGTCCAAGGTACCCACATACCAATTCTGCAAGGTCTTTTCTAGAAGTGGTCCCATGGCATCGAACACACCACGGCCCGGCAAACCACCATAAGCCTCCTGTGGCATTACTCTGCCAATCCATTGCTTAGTGATTTCATGCTGGAAACGAGCCTTGGCACAAATTCTCCAGATGATGGAGGCAACCGACACCGGTCGAAGACAAGGTTGCACCATCAGCTTGCAGGGGTTTGTCCTTAGACAAGTGGACCTGTCTCAT